TTTGAAGTGCGGGAGCCCCCGGGGGTCCCGCAGGCTGCCACGCCACCCCCGCCGTGCCGCGGGGAGCCGCTGCGGGACCGGGGAAGCCGGGCCAGGGTGCCAGGGGGCGGCTGTGTGGCGCTGGGCAAGATGGCGGCCCGAGGCGCGCTGTCCCCCGGGCCCGCCGTGCAGGGGCCGCCCCACCGCCGAGCAGGCCCGCCGTTCGAGGACCGCGCTCCTCCCGTGTCCCGGCTTCGCTCCCTTCATGTTTTTTAGCCTCTCTTTCCTCATTTTTCTCCCCGCTGATGCACCGGCGGTGGCCGGCGAGGCAGCGAAGCGGCGGCCAGCGGAGACAGCGCGCAGCGCGGAGCAGGGCCGGCGGCGGGGCTCCTGCCGACCTCTCCCCTGTTTACAAACACAGCTGTTGCCGTATATTTGCAATGCTAAGGATAAAGCCACCAGCGGCGAGGAGCAAACGAGGGATGGTGCGGGAGAGGGGTCCTCGGCATCTGGAAAGGACAGGGCGCCTTGTTTTTGAAACTGTCAATTCTCTCAACCCCTATTGTGAGCGCTTCATGCAAAACATCTCGGGCCTTTTAAAGCGGGGGCTTGTGAGGCCGCCTCGGCGTGAAAGGGAGAGGGGGAGAGAGAGGGGCTTAGGGCACGGCAAATAATTATATCAGCGCAGTGAAGAAATGCAACGTGGATGGGCCTAAAGCCGGGTAGCCGTCTTTCCCCAAGGGCTCCAGGGCAGGCCGCGGCCCAGCACCCACCCCGCGGCGGCGGGAGCCCCGCGATTGCCGGGCTGAATACTGGGGGAATGGGGAGTGCCTGCACGCATGACTTTGGCTAGCTAGATCCCAAAGCCTCCCTCCTTGTTTTGCTAGCGAGGGCTTTTCGCTTTCAGGAGCTCGCCTTCCTTTTGTACTTCCAAGCTGACCAAATAGATCTCAGGATGAGCCATTGCATACACTTTCCAGCAATCCTCTTAACCATAAAAAAACACAATTAACGAGGTTACCCATGTTTCATGTTCTCTGACATGCTGCATATGTAGAATATTTTCCTGCAGATCACCGCCGTGTGTGGAAAATACCACTTTTTGTGGCCCTTTCTGCCTCAACCCCTCGCACGTGTGAATGGTGACAAACGCAAACATGATCACATTGCTCTCATTTCTGCAGAAACTTTAATTTATTGGCAACTAAATCTGTTAGAGGAAAAAGGATCAGAGACCACGTAAAAAAAAAAAGTCACCGTGTGAACTGATTGAACAGCAAACTTCATACAACAGTTACCACTATTTCGCATTATTACTAGTAGTGGTGTTTAAAATAAACAACCAGTAAAGATATTATCCCACTGTAGTCAAGTAAGTGTAGGTTATAGAACAATCACTTCTTAAAGTAAATTGTTGTAAACGGCGAGTTACATCTTTTAAGGCAGTATAGCTCGTGGCTGAAGGCATTACACGTGTTCTTTTTAATGCTCTAGAGAATTAGACATAGTCCAAAATTTTCTTTTGTCTTCCATCTGGCAGCAGATATCTTCCCAATAAACTTACTGGTGAATTCTACGTATGGCAGATACCTATGGAGCGTAGTCTGTAAAATATGGGTGCTTCCCTCCATTGCTTTTTCCTCTGGAAAATTCTGTTCACTTTTGTGTACACCAGGAATTGGAAAATGGTGGTGATCCAGTACTAATACATTTTAAGGTTTACCTCGTGTAAACATTGCAACAAACTGGTAAGCTGGCTCACTTGAAAAACTTTTGGTTTTCCTCATTATTAGAACTTACCTTTATGGGGGAAAATGGGTCATTTTTATGTAGCTCAATGATATGACTTTATGTTATGGAGGCTGAAATTGTAATGAACTCTCCTCACAGTAATAATTACAACACCATCAGAAACATTTACCAAACTACCAGAATTATCGACATAATATTGGAAGGAATACCACACACACACACACACACACACACACACGCCTTTTTTCTCTTCTGCCAGTGAGTTATTGTACCTGGCTAATTTCTCCAGTGGTAGTAAAAACACGAGTGTCCTTGTTAGTGGCTTGCACTAAACTGAGGTGTACACGTGTGAAGATTATTTGGCTCTTTAACTCTGTGCCTTCTACTGTTGCCTGCCCGTGCTGAGGAGAGCCCAGGGAGCTGCCTGGTGGGTGCTGGACCTGGGCCTGCAGGACCCAGGCCGTAGCAGGGCCAGGCGCGCCATATTTCACATCCTCAATTCTGCAGAGCCTATTTGGTATAAATTTATGCTTATTCCTCCCCCTTCTCTCCCCCACACCCCCCCACACCCCCCCCCCCGGATTACTTCGGGAACCTGAAAAGGCACCTCTGTAATTTACAGTTCCTGGCCAAATCAGCATATCTCTAATTGGAAGTAAACAGGGTCAGGGGACAGAGTTACTTTGAAAGCGATATGTTGTTTAATTGACAAGGAGAAATTTTAGGTTTCAAGTTTGCATATTGGACCTTTGTAGCTTTTGGGCTTGCCTTTTTTTTTTTTCCTTTTTTTTTTTTTTTTACCTTTTTTGTTTGTTTGTTTGTTTGTTTGTTTTTTTCTTTCTTTCTGTTTTGGTGAAGGGAAGACCTTTGTCGAGCAGACACGGCTTTCTAACTGAGCGGGGACCTTTCCTGAGCAGTACGTCTTGTACATATTTACAGTTGTGGGGAAATAAGGCTGTAATCTGTGCAGCTCTAAACACACGAATGTAAACATTGATCTCAGAACAACTCCAGTAAGCAGATTTTTCATGACCGTCGTGATTTCAGCAGAGCGCTTAAGTATGCAGTGCACCTTTTGCAATTGGCAGTTGGAAGTGATGTGTGTGCGCGCGTGTGGGGATGTGTGCATGCAGGGGGGAAGGGTAACTCCACTGAAAGGCAATTGTTTACTCTTTCTAAATATATTTGGCTGCAGGTATTCTTAGACTAGGCCTTTTACAATGGGAGGAAAACTCCGGTGTGGCTATAGTAAACAGAGCTGAAATCAGTTAGTGACTGCCTGGAATATTTAGAGACATGAAGGGTTGGGAAAGGGCATCACAAAAGGCAGGAATTAAAAAATTGAAACCCGGGCAGCGGATTGCCAGCAGAAATGTTGACTTTGAGTCACACAGTAAACATTACATTGTTGCTTTGTTTTCCTTTTTTTGATTTACGATAAATTATTCTCCCGGGATTGATCGATGAGTGGAATCCTTAAAATTTAATTTGGGAATGATCTAGTATAAATAAAATGCTAATCCAAAGAAAGAAACCAGCAATTATTCATCCTAAACTCTGCTGATTCAGCAACTCAATTATAACTGCCTTTCTCAAGCTGCAAACTTTTCAGGCTCTTTTCCGAGTTGGTGTACCCAGACTCCCCCCTCCAGAGACCTTCCCCCGTGTTCAGCTCGGCCTCCACCTCGGCCTCCAGCTTGCTCTCTCTCCCTCTCTCTCTTTTTAAATTCCCCTTCCCTTTCTTTTCGTGGCGTTGGAAGGGGAGGTTGCGGAGGGGGGGGGGGGGGGAGGGGGGGGAAGGGAGGGAAACAGTTAACCTCTTGAAGCGTATTTCCTCCAAATAAAAACAGAGAACTTACAAGCAGAGAGGAAACCACGGATAACTCTGCAATAATTCAAAGTGTATGGAATCAGGGTTATTTTTTTTTAAACAGTGTTTTTAATTGAAAATAAAGCTAAAGCATGCTTTTCAACAGTGCAAATTTCCATAATTTTGATTTACTGCTTCCATCATCACAATATATTATACCAGCATGTCTTACCGAGGGCCAGACTCTAGAAGTCAGCCTGTTCGACTATTTCGATATTAAGTGCAAATATAGAGAATTGCCTCTGATTGTCACGTGCAGTAGAAACGTTTCTGCTCCACTGGGAGGATGGCATGGCAAAAAAACCACCCCACGACCACAAATTTCAAGAGATGAGGGTAGAACCGGGAAGTGTAACACGGTTGAAACGCCTGAGTTTTGGTGCCAAAAAAGCTATGAGTAACATGGTCTTCTCATTTTGGGTATTCTCTCCACTCACAGCCTCTCATTTCACTTTCTGTGTTTTATTTACTGCTTCGCTATTTCCTCCAGCCGGCGTGAGGGGCTGGACCATAAATTGTACTGCGAGCAGGGCAAATATTTTAGTTGCTTTGCAAGTTTGTAAGGAGCATGTTCAGACCACAACCTAAGCATGACATTAGTGGGTAACAGTAACCTTATTTAAGACCTCTGGGTGAAACAAAAAGGCTTCCCAATAGCAAAGAGTGGCTGTACAAGTAAAAAGACACCCTTTTACCCAAAATAGAATTCCACATTTATTTACTGGTTTCAGAGGAGGCAGCTTTTCCCAGCGCTGGGCTCGCAGGCAGACCCCAGCCTTTCCCAACGAGAGAAAAAAGAGTAAGTGCAACTGCTCTTGGAAAAAGACACCCCTGCACCCGAAAACAAAGCTCCCAAAAAGTAGGCTGCTGCCACATTGAATTATCGTGAACCCTTACTGTGCAACCGTAGAACTTAACAAACTTTAACTGAATTAACAGTTAGACTTCCATTTTCGAAATCTAGTGCATAAATTTAATGGCTCATTCTAATATTTATTATTCAACCTTTTGACATTTATTTGCAGCAGTTGAATTGAGGTACTGGTGCATTATTAGCATTTAAACAGTAAAGTGTTCCAGCTCTACCATAATAACTGAGTTTAACTTGAGTCTTTAGCCTGAAGTACTCTGTGGAATGTAACAAAAAAAAAAAAAAAAGGCAAGAGAACAAAAAAAAAAAACAACAACCCAAAACAAACAAAAAACGGCTGTTGTAATGGTAAGGAAAACAGTAATCCAGTTTCTGTCTTCACAATGTGATAAAAACAGGATTCCAAAAGTGGGGATAGTATTAATGGCCTTGTACAAACCATCCTGCGGAGTTGGGGGGGGAAAAAAAAGGAAAAAAGGAAAAAAGGAAAAACAAAAATGTAAGAAAGTTAAAGGTGGTTCGAGAAAATATTTTCCAAACTATTTTATTAATTAAATTTCCTGAATTTGTGGCTAGGTGGAAGAGGTATTGCAGAACCGCCCAGCTGCCATTTCCATACAGGATGGGCCTTGTGAGGTGGTTGGGAATCCTTAGTGGTGTTTAAGGAATAAGCTGGCAACAAATCCCCATCATTGCCAATAATTAGTGATGGTGGACAGGGAAAATTTGCCATGAAATTAAATGGCCTTTTCACTGCTGATGCTACATTGCTGGCTACCCTTTTGCGTCTATTGTTAACTGTAAAATCATCCAGTGTTCCTTCATGTGTCTCGGGTTTACCTGTAGGACGTGGGCTTCGAGCTGATTTCAGATTTGGTTTGACTGGAGGAGTCTGCAGTACAGGTCGCTTTCCCAAAACCAGTGTCCTGTAATTTTTTCTCACCCTTGCTCCAAATTTATACTCCCCATCCTCAGGTTTTGGAGTACCTAAAGTGCATGAGAGGACCTGACTCTGAGTCAGCAGGTTTAAGGAAGTGGTTTCTTTCTCAGTGCATGCAGAATCTTCCTTGGCTGTTAATAAAGCGTCCTGGTTATTACCCTCAGTCACACCGTACAACTCATCCTTAGTATCATTGCACTCACACTTTAGCTTATGTGTTGTAAGATCGGGCTCATACTCGTCGTTCGCACTGCTGTCCTCTATTTTGATTTTAATGCTGTGCAGGAGTGGCAATGCCTTATTGCCTGTATCAGTGCACTGGAGCTCAGCTGCGGCTGCTGCTGCTGCCCCTGGAGAAGCAGCATCCTCCTCAGGAGCCGTTTGTAAAGAGGGCAAATCCGTGGCAAATTCAATACAATGAGGGATTTTGGAATCTTTCTCTGAATTTGCTGCCGCTGATGAAGAATCATTATTTAAGAACCTAGCAGCTATTGTATTGTTATCTGCACGGTGTGTAGTAGTTGCTTGAAGGCATTTCCTTGCCTCTCTGAGTATTCTTTGTTGTGGAAATGCATTGTTTGTCTTTGGGCTAGGTGAAGAGGCCCCCTTTGCAACACAGTTAATTGTTAGGTCAGTACTCTTGGCATTATTGGAAAATTCAGAGTGTGGGAATGTGATCTCGGATACCCTATCATCTCTTATCTCCGAGAAGCAGCTCCCCAGGCCGCCGGAGCAGCGCAGCGCCGGGGCGGCGGGAGCCCAGCCGGGGCGGCCCCACTCCTCCGGCAGCTCCGGCTTGACTCCGCCGGGAGCGCCGCGGAGGGCGGGCAGCCCGCCGGGCTCCGCCGGGGCCGGGGGCCGAGGGGCGGTGGCGGCCGCCAGATGGTACAAGAAGTTGGCGTGGACCACGCCGGGCGGGCTGCAGAAGCTGGTGCGCCTGAAGCGGATGCTCTGCACCGAGACCTGGCTGGAGACCGAGCTGGAGTCAGAGTCCGAGGTGCTGTCCTCCTCCTCCTCTTCCTCCTCCTCTTCCTCCTCCTCCTCCGAGCTGCCCTCGCTGGAGTCCGTGGCGCCGCTGCCCTCCTCGTCCTCCTCCTCCTCGTCCTCCTCCTCCGAGCTGCCCTCGCTGGAGCTGGAGAGGCTGGAGCCGCAGTCCGAGTCGTGCGCGGCGCGGCCGGAGCAGCAGCTGGACTCCGAGTCACTGCTGCCGCTCTCGGGGAAGGCGGGCGGCGTCGGCCCGAAGCCGCGGAGCAGCGGCAGCCGCGGGCAGCCGCGGGGTCGGTAGGGCCGCGGCGCGGCCAGGGTCCGGCGGGCGCCGCCGGGGGGACCCAGCGCGGCGGCGGCGGCAGCGGCAGCGGCGGCGGCCGCCCCGTGGAGGAGGCGGCGGCGGCGGCAGCGGGCGGGCAGGGGCGGGGGGCCGGCCGCCGGGAGCCGCGGCGCGGCGGCGGGCGGGGGGCGGGAGCGGAGGGGCGCGCAGCTGCCCGCCGGCGGCGTTGTTTCATAGTTTACGGGGGGTTTGCAAGGCGCCCGAGCGATTTCTGGGTAGCTGTGGCCAGTGTATTTACTAAAAATGTGAGGTAGATGAGAGGCCGGTAGCAAGGCTGTGTCCCCCGGACGCAAAGCTTTCCTCCTGACGGGCAGCAGGGGCCGGGGAGGGTCCCGCAGGCCCAGCCAAAGTTTGTTCTCCTTCCAGAAGCCGGAGAAGGGGTCGGTGGGTGAGAGCTCCGGCCGGAGGTCGGTGGCTGCCAGCGCACGGCTGATTTTCCTCCGTTTCGTCTTAAGGACCCGTTCGGTTTTGCAGGATGTGTACAGGGCTTCCACGTCCTCTCTGGAGATCAGGGTGCATTTGGCGGCGTGGAAAGCGATGGAGTTGATGGCTTTGAGTTTCCTCAACTCCTCCAGGTCGCAGTGATGTTTTTTTACTTTTAAATGATCCATTCGCTTGTGCACGGTAGTTCGCGGGATGTTTTTGAGCAGGTCTGTAAAAACCTGGGAGAGTGCAAACATTTGCTTTCCTTTAATGATGAGGTAGCCGAGCCTCACGCCATCCACCTCTTCAAAACCCGACTTCAGGTCTCCCATTTCGTGAATTAAATTATTCCCAGCATTTGCAGAGAGTGAGAGAGAGGTGGAGGGAAAAAAAAAAAAAAAGGAAAAAAAAAGGAAAAAAAAAAGGACCAAAAAAAAAAGGAGAAAAAGCCACACACACACAATCCTCAGCCAGATGCTGTATTTGTCTCAAGGCATCCTGCTAATAAAATATAACAAAGGCCGTTATTCCTGGTGAATGAAGTGCCAAACTTTAGACGAAATTGAAAAAAAAATAAATTAAAAAAATACCGTGAGGCTACAATCAATAGATAATCTTAAAAATCAGGTTTGCCAAAGTGTTTCTCTAAGTTGTTGCTGAAGATCAGTACCTGTTCCCTTTCATTCCCTGCTTTTCCATTGGAAACTATGATAATGGAATGTGAAGGGAGGAAGAGAAAAGAAATGCAGCTGCTATTCCCGCCGCTGCTTTAGCTACAAATAAAATGACAGAGTGAAGTGAGCTCGTCCGGAGACACCTTCATCAATTAATTCCCCTAAAGCCAACGCTGATTGGACACTCCTGACAGGTGATGCAATAAAAATTGATATTCCACCCCTTCCCCCAAAAAAAATCTCCCACTAATTAGCATACCCTTATACTGCCACCTCCCCTCCCAAAGTAAATAATACAGTTAGTATATAAATCTTTCTATTAAACAATCCGAGCTCAAACACACTCAGACCTCTCCGACTTCCTCGTCGGTAGCTTCTGAGGACGGATTTGTACGCTTTTCCCCCTTCTCGTTCCGTGTATTTTTAGCCTATTTTGGATAAACGTTGCTCTTTTGTGTATGCCGTGATTTTAAAGGACGTAAGTCTGCCGGTAGCGGTGGAAAATCCTTCAGTAACGTGGCCGCTTTAAACTAGCATTTTATTCTGCATTGTGTGGAAAATGAAGCTTAGCGAAAACGTGCCGAGCAGCCCGGTATTTCCCTTGCTGAGGCTCCAAAGTTAAATGCTCGGCTGTTAAGGAGAGGGAATACTTACATTTTCGAGTTTCCCTTCATTTTCCTCTTCGGCTTAATTAGCTGTTTGGTTGGTTTTTTTGTTTTTGTTTTTTTTTTGTTGTTTTTTTTACAGCCGGGGCTAAGGTTATTTTGCTGTCTGAATATCACGGTTCCCGCACCGTGAGACTGTAACACTTTTAGCTGAAATTCTGCCTGTTATATTGCGGGAGGAGGGGAGGAGGACGTGGGCTCACGTCAGACCCATAACAAAGCATAGGTAAGCCAGAAATGTATACACTTTTCACGATTAACCGGTCTGGATCCGGAGCTGGAATGTCCTATCGTCCCGAAGCCCACGTCAGGATTCCTGCGTACTGATTGCTTCCAGCAGAGGAAGGAGAATGCAAAATATCCAAGGTGCTTCCAGGAGCCTTTACGTAATAACAAAAAAGTGCTGGCACACACAATGTAGCGTAGTGCGAGCGGCTAGGATGCTGCTCCCTCGCAGCTCGCATATTCCGCCCGGAGTAGCCCTGCCGCAGCTTTTTGATGTTCCATTGAGAGCAGCCCCTTAAAATCAATTTGAAGAAGCAGCATGGAGGTTTAACCTCTTAGGGACGCGAAACGAGTCGAGTGTCAGGACCGGGGGGGTTCGCCAATGTCGCGATGGCCGCACGCCTCTCCCGTGGCACCGGGGTGTGTGTGTGTGTGTGTGTATGCTCCTCCCGGGTTGCACGTTAGGCGCCGCGAAAAAAGAAATCGCCAACCTCCGCCGTGCCTCCAGTGCTCCGCTGTGTACGAACACGAGCACGTTTGGGTATCGCCGCACATCCAGAAAGAGACATATCCGAGAGATGAATGAGGCAGCTCATATTTCTGGGACTTGGGGAGAAAAATCGACGGAAGAAATAATATAATTAAAAAAAAAAAAATCTTTAGTCCCAAATGTCAATCTCCACTCCGCGTATTGGCAAGATGGTGCGTGGAGTTCGTGTTACCCCGTCAGGTAGAGCTAAAAGAAAGCGCATAATCACTCTGTAAAAACCGCGGGTTTGCACGTCAAAGCGAAATGCAGGCGAGCCCCCAGTTTCGCTGGAATTCTAGAAAGAAGTGGGAATTTGGAGAAGTGCATCCGGGAATGGAGGAAGTCAGTTCAAGGGAGCCTCTAACTCGGAGGGCTGAGATTTGAAAAGTCAGCCCTGGACTACTGTTGCTCCCAGCGCAGATGTAGCCGCCGCTGTTCAACTTAATCCATGTGTGTGCGAACCGCGGTGCCTAGCTCTTCCCTTTGGAACCCGGGGATAGCCTTCCCATCCGAGGAAGCAGAGCTACGGCAAATTACATTTTGTCCCTCGAATTAGAAAAGGATCACTGAGTGGATCTCGTGATATTTCAGCCTTTAAACGTAACCGACAGGCAGCAGCGAACAATGCCTCGGCGCAGTCAACACCATCCGCGGAGCTCGCCTTGCCTCGGGATCTCCCAGCCTCGCCTTCCTCTTCCTCGCCCGTGGGAGAGCCACCCTGGCGTCTGCCGAGGCTGAAAGCAAAGTTGCGAGAGAAAACAGCTGCTGGCGCTAAAAAGAAATCAGCGCAGTCTTTCTAGAGCTAGAGACAATACGGTCGTTTAAAAATTCCTCCTGATGTACTTATATGCTGCCAACACCCCCACCCCCTCCCCACTGCTCTCCTCCCCCTGCTTTAAGGTTAAGGCTATGGAGTCAACAGTAAAGGAACAGTAAACTCCGAGAAGGCTGCTCACAAGACGTTACCAAAACCCCCGATATGAGCTGAAAAGCCCGTTCTCAGCCTGGCAGTTGGGTTCTCGTGTAACCCCACGCGTGCGCCCGCAGGCAAGGAGCCACGGGCGCCCGCTCACTACCGGTGACAGCCCGGCACCGGGATGAAGCAACTCGTTCAAAAACGCCTTTTCTTTGTGTGTTTCTTTCATTCCGGCGCTACCAGACGTTTAGAACCGGTGGAAAACCACGGGTTCCCCGAAAGGTTCGACCACGGGCACGAGGGGTAAGGCAGAGCCCCAGTATAACTCCTGGGAATTGCCAGGCGCCCAACCTATATACGCATCTTTTCGGCTACTTACACACACTTTGGGCTGCGGATCTTGCTCCGCATCTCGCACGGAGACCTCTGTTTCTCTACTTCTCCATCGTTTGTGGCTTTTGTGTGTGTGTGAGTGCGTGCTTTCCCTTGGCCATGAGCACACGTTGTGCATGCGGGGTCGTCTTCACGCAGGCTGGGGGCAGATCCTGCTCAGGAGCCGGCGAGGCCCTTTGCACAAGCACATACATATGCGTGTGCAAGGGGCCTCTCCCACTCCTGAGCAGGCAGGGGACTTGAAAATGGATTTGCACGCACACAGGGGACTGCGATCAATAACCACCAACATTTACAGCTTAGATTGTTAACGTGAAAGCTGGCCCAAAGAACGAAAATGAAAAATTAAAGGTGTCTGGTATCAATTACAGGGAAAGTTATGCAATAATTTCCTTGCTGGGAGTCGGGGTGGACGCCTGCGTGTCCGTGTGTCCGTGGTGCATGTGTGTGCAGACCCAGATGTACATGTAACTATCCCTCAAAAGCAAGGGAGTTGCTTTGTTAATTTTGTGGACTGTGTCACCCTTGCCGGTGATCAAAGATGAACATGATTAAAGGGATGGATGTTTGTCTCACATTTCTTGAGATAAGGACTGCCAGAGATGCCCGGTTTTGCCAAACACATATACAGGCAACTACAGAGATTTGTGTGTATAGGCACACACACACACACACACACACACACAGAGAAACTATCAATCAAATGTGCTCCTTTTCACGTTGAGTAGCGTGCAATCTGCAATCTACATTCTATAGTCAGTAGTATTTCAGTCTTGAAGCTGTCTGGCCAAAGGATAAACCTCATTAAAAAAGAAAGAGCAAATAATATTCATAATACCTTGCTGTAGACCTATTCCTATTTATTGAAAATCATATACTTTCATTTTTGTAAACTTGTGTTAAAATACATACACTCGCGGGGAAGTGTTTAACCATGTCGTTCCAGAAAGTAATGTGTGTAACATTCAAAATACTCCTTTTACGTGTTTTGATTTATTTTCATAGCATGATTATGTTTAAATACCAGTGCAATTCAGCCTGACCTCTTCCTCCTGCAATGAAGTAATGCACACACCATTTATAGTCCTTCAAACGTTTTGCCAGGAAATGCAGCAGCGATGTCCACCACCGGTTGTACTACTAGGGAGAATTCTTTGGAAAATCTCTGGGAAAACCTAAGAGGTCATGTGCATTTTCACACTAGGATTGCCACATTATTAGAGTATTATTATTATTTATTATTATTATTTGTTAAGTGGTGGACCACATCTTCAGATATTGACAAGCATTAAATAAACCTTTCGCTTACACGACGCTGGGCAGAAATACGTGTTTCTAATGAGGACTTGTTTTCCAACCCTACACCCTACTTTTAGGTATTCCTGGGCATATTTTGCTCAAGGAGGACACAGACAGACAGAAAGCAGCTAGAGGCTATCACAAAGAGTCCAGTAATGTAAATATAATAGGGTCAAAGAACAGTATAATAGGATCCTTCTGCTGTTTTAAAGTCAGCCAAATGTGACTGTGGTACCTCAAATTTGCCGTCATGTCGAATACAGCAACAAATCATAACATATAACTAAATTTCCTAAATGTGCAGGACAAAGAAATGCCAACCATCAGACTGAGAAAAAAAACCCCAACCCCGTAATCTGGGTAACACTCATGCCTACATGGAGTTTCAGGGTTGGTTTTCTTCTTTTTTTTTCTTCTCTTTTTTTTTTGGTAAACAAAGCGGCAATGCAGAGCTCTGCTAAGTGCTTTTTAAGTTGTCCTTTTTATTTCCATGGGGGCTGGGGTGTCACTTGCACACTAGAATTTTGTGCAATTTAGAATCACCACATACTATTTCTTGAGTTTGATACTGCTGGTAGTTTTAAAATACTTTTTAGTAGGAGTTTCTGGACACATACTACATGCCATGTTGTTTACTGACCCATAATCAAAATGCAGTGACCTTCTACCCTTTTTTTGCCCCTTGACCCATGCTGAATTCAATGCAGCCTTTATAAATTTGCAAATCCTTGGACGTAAAGGGGATTTGGTGAGGCTTTGTTCTGAAAGGATCCTAAAAGTTTGCATTTTTAATTAGACAAAGGTAAAGCAACAAGCACTAGGAAATAAGATCCTCTCCTGCACATAGGTGATCCCTCTGAATTGCTGTGCTGGGGAACCGCATCTTCAAAAACCATCCCTGCAAACTGAGAAGCGGTTGTAAGCGTTGGAGATCGGGAGGTTATGAATTGCACCAAATTAGCAATGTGGTACAAATCACTTTCGTGACGTAAGGGATGGCCAGGCCACAATCTTCCGGAGCTCCTCATCTCCAAGGACCCTTCGGATCCCTGTGACCCGGGGAGAGGGAAGAGCCAGCGATTTGATCCAGAGCTACAGGCGCATTCCCTTATCTCCTCTGCTATCAGTCAGTTTAAAGGACACCGTAATTATGATGGTGATAAAACAATGCCCGCTTATGTGTGCTGAATAAATAAAGAATGTTTACAGCTCCAGAATGTTTCAATTCCAATTAAACGCTATCAAAGAAAAGCCCCCCTTCTCTCTCCCCCTTCCCTCCCTCTCCCCCCATGACTCCTTATTTACCTTGGTGGTTGTAATATGGCCCTATGAAATAAACTGGCCTTCCAGTTTGCTGTTAAGGCCACATCGGGAGGAGGGGGAGGAGAAGGAGGAGGAGGGGGGTGTGAGACAACACGTACTCCCGGTCCCACAATTACTTGGGTCGCCTGCATCCTGTTTTTTTTTTTTTTTTTTAATTATTTGTTTATTTTTTCAATTGGCAAAGGCGTGATGATGGGGGGGGAAGCACTTAAGGATCCCGCCCCAGCCACCGGTTTAAGGAGTTGGGCTGAATTAATCCGGCGCCCTTGGGCACCGGAGGAGGGGGCTCCGCTTCCTACTTATCCCCTCCAAACCCCCACCCCCCTGGCTGGCACCCTGCCGGGGTTCCCCACCTCTCCTC